AACGTGTTTCGTCAAATATTTTTCCTGCATGCAAATTTCAATTGTAGAAAATCTTTTTCCCACAAAATATGAACTTTATTGAATGTAATCATTTGGAAAGCTGAAAGCGAAAGCTACAGGAATTTTACAAGTGTATAGTTCTGTGATTATCCCCAGGAAACCAAAGTTTAAATTTTTAAATCTGGGAAAGAGGAATTACATACATAAAATCAATGACCACGAAAGTAAAGAATGTAAACGAGAAATACAGTGCTATTTCAGCTGGCAGATTTTTATACTATAAAATAATAAATTTAACGAAATAACTAATGTGACCATTGCTTGTTCTTGTCATGGTAGATTTTTTTCAAGTTACTCATCTATTTAAATATGTAATAAATAAACAAACATTAAAATGATAAACTTAGAATGGGAAAAAGTCAATAAAAGCAGAATATATTTTAAAGACACCATTTGATGTCTGACATAATGTACATATTAACATTCAGTTTCCGTGAGCAATTCCCCCACCTCTCCATTTACAGTTACACGGAGTCAAGCATCCAGTGATTTCCAAACTTTGGCATTTTAAAAACAAAATACTTGGGTGACTGATTGGATTGTTCACTTTCTTTCTGAATGTCTGGCCATCATACACACTCAATGTAAAGGTCATTCTTTAAGGTGAAATTTTCCTCTCAGTAGAATTAAAGTGTGAGTAAGTGTGACAGTACAGGGTTGCTGTGAGTTGGAATTGACTCGATGGCGGCGGGTTTGGTTTTAAGGGTGAGAGAGCCTACTCTAGGTTGGCCACGGGACAAAGGAGGAATTTACCAGAACTTTTAATTAGAAGGCAGCACAGAGAGGGCATGATGGATGGATAGATCTATCTGTCCGTCCGTCCATCCATCTATCATTTATCACTCTGCCTCTCTCCCCTTCTTGCTTACAATGGGTCAGGCATTGCTCTAGGTGCTGCAGGTGCTGGGGATACAACGGTAGACCAGAACATGGTCCCTGCCACCCAGGGACTTTATCCTGAAAGCAATCAGAAAGAGCTCTCTAATGGGAAAAAATAGAAAGCATGGGTATGAGTTTGCATAAATATTTTTTGTGTAGTGTCTGGGGTGGGTTGTGGAGATGTA